TAAAACATAAATCATCAATAAAGACGACCTGACCCTTCAACTTAAATAAATTCGTATTTATTTCTTTCATAGTTTATAACTTAAACTTTCTGTTAGCAAATAAGCTTTGTTATCTTAACGACGTAGTGTTTAGGCTTAACATCGTGAATGACCTCTTTGACTACCTGATAAATATGTATTAGGTGAACAATTTCTTTTAGATCTTAGAGATTCTCTCAAACTACTTGATGAACGTCCTCTTTGAACAGATAATACAAGTGATGAATTATATCTCAATGATCAGATTGTAGAGTATCTTGATTTATCCCTTCTTGTAGTATGAGATGAATGACAGTATCTTCGTTAATGCTCCAAACGATTCGGTTCGATCCAGATTATAGGCCAATCTGAAACTGAACCAAAAATTTCGATTTGGTTCAGTTCAGATTAAAAATTTTAAAAATGCCAATCCGAAACCGAACCAAACTGTAAACCGGTAAAAATCTGAACTGAACTGAAAATTTTGGATTAATCCGAAATTTTGAATTATTTAGAATGATAACTTCAATCATTCCAAATGAATGATTTTTTATCGTTCGTTTGGAACGATATTTTGATCGTTTCAATCAAATGATTCTTTTATCATTCATTTAGAACAATAATTTGATCATTTCAATCAAATGATTTTCTTATCATTCGTTTGGAATGATATTTTGATCGTTCCAATTGAATGATTCTATTATCGTTCATTTGGAACGATATTTTGATCGTTCCAATCGAATGATTTTCTTATCATTCAATTGGAATGATAATTTCATCGTTCCAATCGAACAATTCTATTATTGTTCGTTTGGAACAATATTTTGATCATTCTAATCGAATGATTCTTCTATCATTCATTTGAAATGATATTTTGATCATTCCAATCGAATGATTCTTTTATTGTTCATTTGGAATGATATTTTGATCGTTCCAATTGAATGATTCTATTATCATTCGTTTGGAATGATATTTTGATCGTTCTAATTGAATGATTTTCTTATCGTTCGATTGGAATGATAATTTTATTGTTCCAATCGAATGATTCTATTATCGTTCATTTGGAACAATAAATTTAATCGTTTTAAACAATCTGAAATTTCAGATTGAATTTTTTGCAATTCAAAACCGAACTGAAGTTGATCTGAACTGAAAATTTTCGGATTAATCTGAACTGTTCAGAGCTTTAATCTTCGTAGTGATATTGTGCGATGATTATATAAATTTAGAAATGCCAAATATCTTTTACATTAATCTTAAGTCTTTGACTATACATATTATTCAAAATAATCAAAATTAATGATAGGTAATAATAGTAAGTTAAAGAATTTTAAAAGATAGTGCAAACGTTAAATTCGTTAGAGAAAAAAATGATGCTTTTATACCTTTATTTCTTTTCCTTACAAATAAAAAAATGACAGAGAAAGAAAATTATATTAACATGCCACCTATGCCAACTATATATATATATATATATTATTAGACTACTAATCATACTATCAATCATACTTATATATGATAAGAATATTGAAAGTAAAATTCACTATACTTTCATTTTTTTTGAGTAATTTATTGTTTATATATAAAAAATGTAATAGTCACATATGTTCACATATGTTATAATCCCGTGCATTTAACTGCATATAATTTAGTTTTGATTAACAATTAAATTATTTATATATAAATATAATGTTTACGTGTGTTATGATCCTGTGTATTTAACTGCATATAATTTAGTGTTGATTTTTTTTTAATTTACTATTCATATCTATTTTAGCAATGATTTTTATTTAGTAACAATTACATTATGATCTTTATTTGATTATTAGTTTTTATAATAAATTTATTAAATTTACAATATTTTCAAAAAAACATCGAAAAACTAAAAAATCTTTTGTGAAGGATTCTAGTAATCCATTCAATTCTTTCAGTAGAACAAAGAAGGTTCCATGTAATTGTAATAAATGCAAAGGTCAGATGGTTAATTCACATATAAAAAAAATCATGAATCAATAAAGGATATTAGGTTAAGAAGAATTATCAATAATATACCTATAGATTCAAATTAGGATTCATTAACACAAAATACATCAATAGATCTTCCAGATGTTATTGACACATCAAATGATAATGATCAAGAAACTGAACCAGTTTCTTATGAAGAAAATTATTCGTTTCTTCTTAAAAAATAATCAAAAATAATTTGAAACGAGTTAGTAATAATATCTTTAATCCTGTGGTTGTTATTGAACAGGATACTTCAGATGAAAATAATGATAATAAAAGTGACAGTAGTGAAGTTAATAGTAAAGAATATCAGGATGATAATGATATTAAAGGAATATCATTCAGTGGGTTCAATGCGTCAGAAAATGTATACGGTAATGACAATGCTCCAGAAGTACCTATTATTGATTATAACAAAGACTCTAATTGGATTGTATTATAGATTTTATTATACCAAGGGAGATACCAACTATCTGATATAGCTACTAATTCTTTGATAACATTTATTAGATATCTTTTGATTCTATTTAGATACGAATAAATATACATCTTTTTCTATATCATTATATATAATACATAAAAAACTTTGTGTTTGTGCTCATATTATCAAATACGCTGTATGTAAAAAATGCTGCAAATTGTATAATATAGTGAAAGTATCAACTAACGAACCTAGTCAAGTTTTAATCACAAGCCAATGTATCTATGTAGATTTTTTGAATCATCCAATGGCAAATCAAAGAATAAAATGTGGCTCTAATCTTACCAAGAAAGTTTCTATCACAGATAGAATAATACATAAACCTTCTATGATATTTTTAATATTCAGTTTAAAACATTAATTACAATTAATGTACAATCAGAAGGGATTTAAAGAATTATACAAGAAATGGCCAATTGATGTAATGATTTCTAATATCTAAATGATATCTACGATGAAAGAATTTAGAAGGACTTCCAAGATCCAAACTAAGATTTACCATTCTTTTAGAAAGAAGTATCAGATCGTTATTTGGGTATTATGTTAAACCTTGATTGGTTCTAACTGTTTGATAATACTAATTACAGTGTTAGAGCCATATATAGTGTAATCTGTAATTTCCTTCAAAATGAAAGATTTAAGCCATCAAATATTTTAACAATGGCTTTGATTTCTAATCTAAACGAGCTGAGTCTGCATTATTTAAACTATTACTTAGCTCCAATAATTGATCAATTAATTGAATTATAGAATGGGATAGAGCTATCGGCAACATATAAAAACTCTAGTGGTAAGACCATTTGAGTTGCAGTAATATGCTATTCTTGTGACATTCCTGTTGCAAAAAATTATGTAGTTATATATCTGCATGCGTGATTTGTCATAGATGTTTAAAAAAGGCTCAATATAATGATATTAATCAACCTAATTTCAGAGGATTTTTTGATATTAATAATTAGTTTATTGAAAGGAATATCAGTCAGATTCGAAAAAATGCATACAAATGGTTAGATTGTAATATAAAAGATACTAGAAAATCCATATTCACAAAACCTTAGTACGTTAGTCCAAAATATACCATCTCCAGTATTTTGATTCTGTACGATTCATTGTAATAGATCTTATGCATTATTTGTTCTTGAGTATCACTAAAGTGATACAATTATTGATTGAAGAAGAACAATTAATACAAAAGGATCTAAATACGATGCAGAATAGGGTAAAGCAGATAAAGGTTCTAGCTGATATCAGTAGAATTTCATATAAAATTTTAACTGAAGAGGGTTTTTCGGGTTTTACTGCAGACCAGTGAAAGACTTTTATCTTAGTCTATGCCACTTCTATTATATAAGATTTACTTTAAGAAACAGATAGAATGATTCTTGCAAATTTTGTCCGTGCATTGAAGCTGTGATCTGTGACTATGCTAAAATAAAGTCATGTAATATAAATGATCGACATAGTTAACAAAGTTGACAAAGTTACTAAAGTTGTCAATGTTGATCAAGTGGATATATTAGATAAATGGATTATATTTATTATATTTATTAATTATATCTATTTATTATATATATTATATTTATCATAGTTATATTATTTATTCTCTTTATTATATTTGTTATAGTTGATTTTATATTATTTTATTTTATATAAATATCTTGTATTTTCCCTTAAGTCAAAAAGTAACTCAAGTTAAGGTTTTAGAATAAACCAAGAGTTCAATAAAGAAATTGTTAAATTCATTTACTATTGCCTTTTGTTATGTCTTCATATAGGCATAATTGTGATATTGTTTTGTATTTAATTTGACAGATTGAATTAAAAGTTTATCGTTTAAGTTTACAGATACCAAACCAATAGCATGTAACATTCTTGTATGTAGAATGATATCTAAAATGGATTAAATAAAGCTCACCAGTACTAACAATGGTAAAGCTTATCGAAGAGAATTATAGATCAGAAAAAATTACGTTAAATTTACATTTATGCTTACATATTTGTCAATGTGTATTAGACTATGATCCACTATATGCATTTTGGTGCTTTAGTTATGAATGAATAAATGGTTTATTGGATAAATATATGCTCTTATATTTTATTAATTATTATTTAATATACATTGTTATATCATTGAAATATTTTATTTTGTCTTATAGGTTCATATCATACTAGTAATAGAAGAATTGAATTAGAATTATTGAAAACGATTCAGCATAACTCGCTTCTTGACCAGTTTTCATTACACATTTAAGACTATACATATTTATCAGCTTGCTTACCATTAATAATACCTAAAGTAGCTAGGGTAGTCTTGCAGTTCAATATTAATTTAATGGAATAGACTACTTAGAATTCTTATCAATATCCAATAATGTAGAAGAAAGAGCAGGAACAGGTTTAGAGCCCTTTCTGAGCAATTTTCTTAATTCAAAAATATAGATACAAACCTTACGAAGGAATCATTAGTCGCAATGCTTATAATGAAGATTTTGTAGCTTTATCTAATATTCATATCACATAATCTAATGCTATCCCAATATTTCTGAAGATAAATATTTATGGGAGGTTACAATTTAGCGCTGAAGTTTTTAGATCAATATATTCAAAAAGGTATATTAATTCAGCTAAAATATTATCATAATTTATCGATGGTAATTCTAAGGATACTTATCCTGGTATTGTTCAATATTATTTTGAACATATTGTATATTTTTTGAACTTAAGAATCTAAAAAACATTTATTGGCATTTGTAAGATGGTATTTTCTGGCAGAAGATCATAAGACTAGATTCCATTGTCAAATTAATAATGATATTAGTTCTTGCAATATTGAATTATAGAAGAAAGAGTTTTATAATATTAGTAGAGATTGTATTATTCCTGTATATAGTATATTGGGTTGATTTGTCAAAGATACTTTTTTAGTAGGCAAAAGAGATCCTCAAAAATACATGACAGTAATACTGATTAATAAAAAAATTCATATTTAATATATCATACTATGCTATATAATATTTATAATACAAATAATTAAATCGTAACATTTAGTTGAACTGATATGTTTATTTTTTCTGCTTTTAATAAAGAAAAATTCATATGACTTTTTCTTCAAAATTAAAACTTCGGTAGTTATTTAAATAAAATACTGATATTTTGCTTATACCTCTTAATAGATAATCGTAAAATCGTTAATATATTGTATAATTATCAGAATACTGAAAGGTATATAATTTATTGTATAATATTCTCTAATATGTCTTTAAAATAGTCAGTCTTTTATAGGATAAAAGTCATGAACTTATCGGGATTCTAATTATTAATTGATAAAAAAATACCAGCTAATTAAAAATCAGAACTGATTTGATTCTGATTCTTAACTGGCTGGTACTATTCCGATTCTTCATCATTTGACCTGTGTTAATAAAAATATAAAGATATTTATATATATTGAATAATTAATAAAATAAACTAAACTAAAAATATTCAAAGAAAATTAAATTGACAAATCTACAGGAAATAAAGTTGCTATGTCAATAAAATTATCAGATCTGCAGATAACTAAATAGATATCTATAATCTATGTAATTATCAAGGGTAATAAATTGATATTTAGGGATTTATATAATGATTGATGAAAATAAAATGAACAAAATGATCTTTCTAAAAGATTTACATAACAATAAAATTGACTTCCTAATTTACTAATTATTTTTATCTAAAATTTTTAACTGTAATACTATATAAAACTTCTTGTCTTTTTATTAATTATGAAACAAATATTCATTGTAATAGGAATGCTTATTCTAAAAAAAAAACATAAAAGCTTGATATTTATAATAGTTTTTAAAATATTTTAATTAATTAAGTTTAATTATTTTTATTTTTAATAAAAAGATATTAGATAATAAATATGCTTTTTTATTGAATGTATTCAGAAAAATCTAATATTAAAACCTCCTTTCAAGTTCTAGAATTAAGAGACAATATCCTTATTTTAGAAAATAATTTAATTTAGAAATCTATATTAACTATTATGAAAGATAAAATAATCATTAAGATATCTGTTACTTTTACTAAAATATCAAAGGTTGTAATCTGTAATAAAATGAAAGAAATTTCAAAATTAGAGAATTTTAAAATAAGAAATAGTTAAAATAAAAAAAACAAGAAATTGTATAAAATCTTTAAGTCCTTAAACTTTACCAATAATAATTATAAACAAAAAAAGTAAAAATAAAAGAATATGCATTAATTATAAAAATTAAATATCATTACCAAAACTGATGCTTATTCTTTGTCCAAAATCAATGACTTATTAGAAGTTTTTAAAGTTACCTTATAATTTATAATATTGGATCTCATAAATAAATATTGATAAGTAGTCATAAATAAAGCAAATATAAAGAAAACTGCTTTTATAATACCTTTCAGACTATATGATTTTTTGATAATATCTTTAGTTTAAGTTATATATCAGAAACTTTTAGCGATTAATAAATAAAGTATTATAAGAATTTTTTGAAGGCTTTGTAACTATATATTTGAATAATATTATAACTTACTCTAAAAAAAATTTCAGTTTGTTAAATCAATTAAAAATTATCTAAACTTAAAAATAGCAGATTCTTTTCACAAAGTTTCTCACAAATACAATTTCTGGCATAGTTATAATATACTAGTTCTACTAATTGATTTCAATAGTTTGTCATTTATTATTACTTAGAATGCTTAACATAATTACCTTATTATTGGTAAAATTATAAGCATACTAAATAACCATTATCATTTAGTCTACTTTATTTCAATAGGTGATATAAATCACAAATCCTTTTTATATAATATAACAGTTACCTTTTATATACTCACAATAGAAGATATAATGATATTCCTATTAGAGTGATGATACTACTCAAATCTTTAGGAATTTCTATCTTAGTTAAATATGATAACATTTTCTGTAA